TGGGTGTCTCAACATATTGTCTACCTTACAGTCTTCTTTATACCACCGCAACAACTTTGCATGGTCTTTATTTCTGAACAAACGTTTTAAGCGTGGTATTATAGGAGCATACTACATAACTTTGGTAGGGATTTTCTTTCTAGGACGTTGTTCACCCTCGATGTCACCAGGATCATCGCGCCTGATCTTATACCGCGATGCTTTACATACCGGGCATTCATCTAAATTCTCGTATTCATTGCCATGGTAGAGGATGCAGTCATTAGGACATGCATGTATCTTCTGGATTTTTAATCCCAAAGGGCAGACAACCTTTTTTGCTTCGTACGTAGTGGTGGGCAATTCATTTGGCTTCGAAAGCATCTTCTTTATGAGGTTCAATAAATTCCCAAATGCCTTGTCGGATACACCATTCTTTGCCTTCCACTATAGCAATTTCAGTGTTGTACCTAGCTTTTTTTGCCCCTCTTCGGCCGCCGGGTATAGCAACTTCCTATGATCCTCAAGCATGCGCTCAAACTTAACTTTCTCCTTTTCACTTTCCCATTCTTGTTGTGCATCACGAATGGCATCGCCAAGAGTATCACCGAGATCATCTTCTACCGCTACCTCTTCTTCATCTCCCCCCATTGTAGTATCATCAAAGGCACCATACTGAGCAATAATATCATCAATGTCTAAATCTTCTCCTTCACCTTCTACCATCATGACCCCGCTTTCTCCATGCTTAGTCCAACATATATAGTTTGACATGAAACCTGACTTAAGTAAATGTGAATGAAGACTCATTGAGCTTGAATATTCCTTTAAATTCTTACATAGGGCACATGGACAGCACATGAAACCATCCCGCTTATTTGCCTCGGCCACACCTAAGAAATAGTGCAAGCCCTCAATAAAGTCTTGGGAGCGGCGATCGGCATTGTACATCCAATGGCGTGACATAATCTGTATTACACGACAAATTATGAAAACCTTGAACATAATTAAGTATTTTATTACACAACATAGATGACACACACACGATTAATTAATTAACTAAGCCTGGCTACAACGTAAGCAATCCCAACTATCACTAAATAAACTAAAACTACAATACACTTCAGTAACATAATTATTTCGTGATCGTACGCAATTAAAACAGACAAATCATTCTTCTGTTGAATATCAATAAGCTTCTTCTCTTTGGCTCATCGCCTCATCGCCAGCTAAAATTAATTCTCGCACGTATGTAGCATAATCTTCCTCCCAAGTACCAACCATCACATCCATTGCCCTCCCACTGAAATTAAAGCCAAAAATATTTAGTCAAAAATATTCAAGAAAAGCAGGTCAATTAACCATAATAATCAAATGCGTAAGAAACTCACATCGCGATTTGGGCACTTGTAGAAAACACGACCCTTGTTGGGTCCTCGTCTCTTGACTCGGTACTCCATCACAATCTTCCGCCTTACACTTCTGCGCAGATAATGAGAGGGAGTTTCGGCCTCGATCGTTCAAGAACCGAACGAGAGGCCGAGGATCCGTACCGATTGTCATCTACTTTCTATACTTATATTTGCAAACTACTATAAATTTCACATTTTCTAAAATAATATATTTAAACAAAACTAAAATTATTTATTTATCTAACTAAACCATGAAATATGTACTATGTATAATAGTAAAATACCAAACTATCAAGTGATTTTACTATTGTAAATCATCATGTGATTTTGAGCTAAAAATGACATAGAAATCACATAGCTCAAAAACATGTTTCAATAAATAACCATCCGTACTAGTTGACCTTGCTTACGTGATCATCTCGTGAGAGCATTTCTCCACCGGACGGCACCGCGTACTTAGCCAAGGAAGAGCTCCGATTCTACGAGGAAGGGAACACGGTCTTCCACGACATTGCCGCTCTCCCTCATAGAATCAAAGCTCCTCCTTGACGTCCGTTACCGCCGGGCAGAGAAAATGCTCTCACGAGATGATCACGGTCCGCAAGTTCAACTAGTACGGATTTTCTACAATTTTCTAACTATTTTCCAAGTTTTTCATTTCATGGAAAAATTAATTCTAAGATCATGTAAGCCGCTGGGGACGAGGATGGCGCGTGCTCCAGCGAGGACGAGCGAGGCGTGATTTTGATGAACTAATTTAACTTTTGTTTATCCAAACATATATGCAAATCATCATGTGATTTTGAGCTAAAAATGACATATAAAATCATAATAAAGTCCAACATATAAAGTTACACATGCATCTACATCGCAAAATGAGATAAGCTACTGATAAAACATAAGAGAATTAAGTTTGTTACCTCCAAAATCGAAGAGCAACACCAATGGAGGGGGAGAGAGCAAGAACAACAGCAAGCTGAAGAACAGAGGCAGTGAGTTTGAATAGAATGGCTCGGGCTCGGGGAGGAAGAAATGAGCCGTTGTATAGGCCCGCATAATTAGTCCCGGTTAGGTGGCCAAACCGAGACTAAAGATTAATATTTACCAGCCGGGACTAAAGGTTTACCTTCCCGGTTGGTAATACCAGCCGGGACTAAAGATCCCTGCCACTCGGACGATCGTTGGGCAGGGACCTTTAGTCCCGGTTGGTATTACGAACCGGGACTAAAGGGTCCTTTAGTCCCGGCGGCAAAAAATGCCGAGGCTAATGCCAAATTAGGACATCGTTCTAAAGTCTGTTCTCTAGTAGTGTAGGGAGATCAATGAAAAGGGATACGTACACAAAATTCTAGTTTTTTTTATACGAATCTAAGATGATTTGGCCACCATATCAAGAGATGCAAACTAGCAACTAGGGTGCACAATGATACAAAAAAACTCTTAAATTAACATGGATAGGAATTGTTTGGTTTAATTGTATAAAAAAGGTTAGTGGAAGATGAGCATGATTTCCATATTACAAAGACTTGATGCAACCAAAATCACTTTCCATGTTTTGACCATCTTTGGCTACTTGAAGATATGGCACATTTTTCTCAAACACTTGAAGAAGAGAATTGATCAATGTAACTACAGGCCGTTAATAGACACTTACCCCACCTCCCCCAAAAGTTGGTCATTGTATGATTCTATTATGTTTAGTCAAGTCTTTTTAAACTTATATTAGACCATTAATATATATGGAATGTTACATAGAGTCACAAGAAATTGTTGACATTACCACATTTATCAAGGAAAGTAATTTCATAACGAAAAGAATGCATCTCTAGGTAGAATATTCTAAGTCAAAATTATCTCAATATTTGATCAAATATTTACAAAAATGTAAAAAAATATTTAACATGCCAATGAAGTATCATGAGAACCCTCATGGAAAACATTTTCATAATATATCTATTTGGAGTCATAAATGTTAATTATATTTTCTATAAACTTTGTCAAATCTATATTAAGATAATTTGATTTAAAACATAACTTGTAGTTGCGTCATTTTTTTGCAGAGGTAGTACATTTTTATGAAAACTCGTATGTCAAAGTGTCACGTTGAAGACCGTGTCAGTGTCCTAAGGTCAGTCTCAATGAGTGTTTTATGTCTCTGTTTTTAAGACTCCCATGTGCTGGAAATAATGTATACAAGTTTCATGCTATGAAACTCATTTTTTGTCCCACCAAATTTTTACCACATCTCTCTTCATTAATACTATGCCACATTTGCATATTTAATTTCTATGAAACTCTCATGAAACCTCCATTGAAACTAGCCTAAACGTTGACCTATGACATTTGTAATTAGAAGGGCATATAATGCATGCATTCAACGCAAATAAGGCAAATCAAAATTAATGGCTCGGTGATAGGATAGGGGCGGAGGCTGTTTTACCTTCTCCCCACCTCCCATGTGTTAGTATAGTCCTATGACTAACTTGGGTGCCGAGGTGATCTACTGCTACCTATAGCAATTAGCTATAGCGATCCACCTACCTTCGTTTCACGCACAAGTTTCACATGGATCGAATAAAATTTGCTGTAAATTACTCCTTTTGTCCTGGACAATTCAATTTATAGACTTGCTTTAAGTCAACCTTTTTTTAATTTTCCGAGTTTATATAAAAAGTATCAAATTTATGAAACCAAATTAATATAATTAAATACACTATAAAATATATTTTTATAAACATTGGTGCTCTATCTTTTGTATAAATTTTAGCTAAACGTAAATAACTTTAACTTAAGACAACTAGAGAAATTAATTTATTTAGGGATGAAATAGTATCTAAAATTCCTCATTTGTCCAAAAAAAAAAGCTGGCAAAAAATGGTCAATAGTTGGTTTATATATATATATATATATATATATATATATATATATATATATATATATATATATATATATATATATATAGAACACCACCCAGAGTACGTACGTACTACGTAGAACACCACCCAGAGTACGTACGTACTACGTAGTATAAACAAACTACCAATAATCGTCTTACACTATCTGGAGAGCAGTATGCATGCCTGCTATCAAATTACCATATCACCCCTGCCATGCCATCTCTGCATCTCCCTCTCCTAATTGGAATGAACAATTGAATACTAGTAACAGTGATAGATGTAGTATCAATCTAATCATATGAGTAACATCTGCTAGTAAATGTTGTGATTATAATATAACAACAACAATCGGGGGGTTAATTAAACAGGGCTGATGAGATCGAGATCGAGATCGAGAAGGAGGAGCGAGATCATGTGGCGTTTGAGTGACAGTGCCACTCCAACTTACTGCCAGCCGCTTTTAATCGATCAGCAATCTCCTTTCACTCTCTCTCATCACTCTAATCACCTTTGACATCCCTCTCCCTCTCTAGAGATCTTTCTTTTATTTTTAATTTCCCTCTCTCTCTCTCTCTCTCTCTCTCTCTGTCTTCTTGCTGCTGTTGTTGTCTCTTCTTTACTACTGTAGCAGGCATGCTGGCCATGTCATCACGTAGGGGCTTACGACGAGTCGACGACGTACGTACATAGTAAGGCGACGACGACGGCCGGTCTACAGTGACACGTGGCTCAGCCGCTCCGTCGACGTGGCCGCCGCCGCCGCCGCTGCCGAAGCCGACGACCGCGTGAAGCTCCACAGGTCGTCGTCGCTGCCAGCGCCGCTGGAACCTGCGGAGCCGAGCAGCAGCCTGTTGGCAGCGGCGGAGTAGAAGGCGAGTCCGCCGTCCGCGTCGTCGGCGCCGGTGGCGTCGTCGAAGCAGCTGCCGAGGTGGTCCGCGGCGGGCGCGACGTCGGGCGCCTGCCCGTTCAGGTGCGACGCCACCAGCCGGTCCATCATGGCCCAGTCCGTGATCCCGTTCCCGGCGCGGTGGAGGCCGAGGAGGTCGTCGACGACGACCCCGGCTGCGGCGGCGGCGTCGCCTGAGATGGCGTGCTGCAGCGGCGTCATCAGCGCCGCCGCGGCCGCGGACGGGCTCTCGAGCGGGGCAGCTTCATGAACCCGTGCCCGCCCAGCACAGTCTCGATGGGCCGGAGGTACCTGGACGCCGCCCGCCCCGCTGCCGGCGGCGGCGACAGCAGCTCGTGCTCCTGCTTGCAGGACCTGCCCATGTACTGCAGGATCTGGTCCAGCGCGTCGTCGCTGGAGGAGTACTGCAACCCACCGTGGTGCTGGTGCTGGTGCGCCGCCGCGGCTGCAGCAGCAGCAGCCTTGCCGCCGCCGTGCCCGTGCTCGTTGTTACTGCCGCCGTGCTTGCTGCCCCCGCCTCCACCTGATGACTCCTTGTGGTGGTGCTTCTTTTTGAACACCCTGCACACCACCCAGCCGTCCTCCTGCGCGCCGTCCGACGCAGCAGCGGCGACCTGTCCACCACGACATCGCCGACGACGACGACGAGAGGCCGATCGGTAAAGTAGGGCAGCAGTGTTAATTATTGCTACCTTTTGGGGGCACATGAAGCACATGGCAAAGTTTAATAATAATTACTACCTTCCCTATAGCCTACTACTGCTCTCTCCACTCCACCGTACCCTCTTTCTCTTCTCTCCTCAACAATCAATCAAACAAGAGGGGGAAAAGAAGAATTTTTTTTTCTTACGGCCGGCTGGAGCTGGATCAAATCAAGGCGGGCAGCCGTACTCGTATGATTGCACCACCACCGCCATATAATTGTTTCTTACGGCAGGCAATAATTAATGGTGGCGTACGTGAATTGGTGCAGACATTAACGACAGAGTAGACAGTTATATTAGCTAGGTGAAGGGAAGCAGGAAGATCTGAGCTGGATGCATGGGTGGGCGATCGATCATGGATGCTTGCTTGCTTACCGTGGCGGCGGCGGCATCGCCGGAGCCAGCAGCAGCAGGGTCGTCGAGGCGGTACTCGTGCATGATCCAGTCGGACTTCTGTCCGTGCGGCGCGCGGCCCTTGTAGAAGACGAGCGTCTTGCGCATGCCGATGCGCTTGACAGCGTTGTAGATGGCCTTGTCGCGGCCGGTGGCCTTCCAGAACCCGGCAGCCGTGGCGCGGTTCGTGCGCGTCCCCGTCGGGTACTTCTTGTCCTTGTGGCTGAAGAAGTACCAGTCGTTCTGGGGGCCCGACCCGATCTTGCATTTCTCTGCAATTCGATCAGCACCATGGACGAGTTATTAGCACGCAATTCTCGATCGTTTATTAGTTTGTCGATGAACGAACAGGTTACATCTACTTGCATGGGACTAGCTATTTAGCTAGGCAGTTGCATTCACCACCAGGTCAAGCATATTGAACCGCACAATTCGTACTACAATTCAGCAAGCTCTCTAGCTCTGCCCAGCTGCCAGCCCATGGCACATGGCAGCCGTAGTCGACGGTGCAGGTGGTGGTGGTGGTGGTGCAACAAGCCATGGCCCATGGGTACGTACGTGCAGTAGCAGTTGGAGGGAGGGAGGTACGGTAGCTAGTTTAAGTCCATGTTCGTCATGTTCATGCATGATCAGGTCACCAGCTCCCATGGATCCAATCGATCCACGACCACGATCTGCCACTGCTGGAAGGTAGCAGCAGCTAGAGAGTGAGTAGCGTACCTTGGATGTCCCATGGCTCGAGCTTGTTGAGGTCGACGTCGCGGATGACGTCGAGGTCGATCTCCTGGGAGGCCACCTTCTTGCGGAGGTAGTAGTTGAGCAGCTCCTCCTCCGTCGGGTGGAACCGGAACCCCGGCGGCACGCACGACTGCCCGTTCACCGAGATGCTCATTGATGATCTTAGCGCTTGTTCCTTGCTCTTCTTTGTTCTTTAATTCTTTCCCCGTGCAGGTGCTGGTGCGTCGATCTCTCTAATAAAGCTCGCTCCTTCAACACACACTCGCTCACAACTTAGTTTGCTTGGCTCATGACGAGCCGCGGCTGCTGCTGCTGCTGCTAGTGGTAGCTAGGAGGAAGAGGACGAGAAGGACGAGGGGGAGGCCAGAGGAGGAGGAAGACGATGACGAGGAAAGAGAAGGGAAGGGAAGGAGAAGCTGGTGGCAGGGGAGGAAAGGCGCGCACTTATATATAGTGGGGGTTGGGGTACTTTTGCCGCCCGCCCAGCAAAGCAAAGGCAGCAGAGGGATCCGAGTGAAATTAGGGGGATGGGGATCGCGTCCATATGTCCCTGGATCCATCCATGAATCATATTGCCATCATTCCATTTCCATGCTCTTGCCTTGGTCGCCTCTGCCTTCCCCTCTCTCTCTCTCTCTCTCTCTCTCTCTCTCCTGTGTCTGTCTGTGTGTAGCTACCAAGATACAGCCTGTTTGCTTGCTCGTAAATGATCGTAAATTTCCAGTCGGGAACAGTGTTTTTCTCTCACACCAAACCCGCCAACAGTAAATAATCCACGATACGATACGGTCTCCCGAACAGGCTGATAGCTCTACTTGCTGTAGCAGCTGCTGCTACCTCTTTCTCTCTCTCTCTACACTATACTGCTACCCCTTCTTCTAGTAGGAGTCGTCAGTCAGTGTACTGCAGCTATAGCCCGGAGCTGCTTGCCACCCACTCCTGAGAGAGACGCCGGAGAGAGAAAGACAGAAAGAGGAAAGGTGCATCCTTGCTAGTACGAGCTGAGTAGTAGAATTAAGAGAGAGAAAGGGAGAGGACAAGCCAACGGTTTTCATTTCTCTTCCTCCATGCATTATATATAGTGATATATATATATATGTACATGTATATGTAAATGTAAGGAATTAGTAGGATTTATACATAAATATATATACATATATATACTTAATTATATATCACTACTACACAAATAATTTTGCGACACTATCCAATCATTAACTAAGGCTGTCATAAAATGCAACAATCTTCTAAAATACTTGACCATTACCAGAGGCGGATGTTTTATTTATGGAGATAGACAAAAATTGCCCGCCTCCTAAAATTTATTTACGAAAGCGGTCAAAAACTGCCCACCTCCAAAAATGGATTTTACGGAGGTGGGCCTCTTAAGAGGTCAATCTCTAAAAATGGAGGGCATTTTCGGATGCAGACTCTGTTAATCGTGACTGAGCCCATCTGTTTTTTTGGCCCATCTCAGCCCGTTAACGGGTTCATAGTATATAAATTGAGAAACCTTAGCTCATTCATTCTCCTCCCACCCGCACCATGTCCATCTCTCTTCCTCTCTGCCTCTCTTCCACACGCGCACTTCTCTCTTCCGATCAACAATGACAATGCGAGGGCAGGCCGCTTGTGCCCCAACGGCGAGGGCCGCTCAGACCAAGGCTGCGGGGCCCCCACGCGCCCCGGCGGAGGGTCGCACACGCGCCAGTGTCGGGGGTCTCTTCCACGGTAGCGCAGGGTGTTCGCAACGGCAGCAACGGCGGCCGGGGCTCTTCAGCAACGGTCGTGGCCGAATTCGGCGGCGGTGCATGGATGGGCTCGGCGGTCTTGTCGATGTTCTTTTTCATTTTTAATCTATTTTTAGGGACGAACGTTTGACCATCTCCAAAAATAACGATTTCCGGAGGCGTAGCTTCGGCGCTGTCCGCCTCCCATAATCTCTTTGACCGACTGCAAAAATCCCTTCACTAATATGAGTTGTTTATATTGACACGCCCATCGATATAGATCCTACCTAGCCTTGGAATCTTTTGAGGCTGGATTATCATTATTTTGTCCCACCATGTGCTGGCCGCTCAATTTCATTTGTACTGTTTGTACTGCAGGATGATGATCTAATCGGTGGTAATATTATATAACCTGATGCATGGACGGAGGTATACTTGTCATTTTTATATACTATATTCATCTCAGCTCTATTATTTGTGTCCTCTTTCTGGTTGCTTCAAATAATGATAGTTACTCCTCCCCCTGGCTACGAACTCTGCATAGTAGCATAATAAGCAGCTAGCTAGCTGGGTGACACTTCTTCCTTGGATGGACCAGCTGTTTCTTGGAAATGTTGGTGTCACTCTGTCACTCGCATCAAAGTACAATGATATATAGTACGTGTCCACACAAAATTTCATTATATATAAGCAATTAGGTACACTACACACCCCGTTCTTTTGTCATTTTGGCCTGGCCTGGTCCTTGTTGGTCAAAGTTACTGTTTCAGTGCATATGACATCTAACATGATCCAGTAGTATTAGTAAGATGTCCTGCACGTGTGTGCGTACATAATCCAAGCACTTGTTAGGTTTTCCATTTCGGAGAATACATCCAGCGTTAGCTCCAGTGCTCAACAGCTTTGTCGTATCCATAGTTGTATATATAGAAATATATACTCCTATCTACTTGTAAGCGCTACCTTGTACTAGCTAGCTAGGGTGATGCATGCATGCGACCCAGGAATGGTCAAGTCACAGCTAGAGCCATCCATCGTCCAAATCCAAGGCATGCGTGCATGGAAAATCCAAGGCATGCAGTTATTAGCTCTACTCTACTGTACATGTAACCCAATTTTTTCTTTGTCAAGTCGCTAATCTCTTTCAGTTACCCATCGTCATGCATGGGTGCCAAATCCCTTTGATGATTTTGCATCCAAAAAAAAATCTTGTGCTGATCAGAACTAAATTTATACAGTGTGTGGACGTGTGGTGTCGTTGTAGGTATTAGCTAATAGTGTGATGCAATTATTAGCCTTTATCATATATGGTTGATTTTGTTGCTTGTGTTCGAGTTGTACCATCAAAGCCATAGCTATACCTGATCCCTTGAATTACAACGAAACCTAGCTAGCTAGGTAAACAGTGGTGTTTAGGTGTCAATTATCAACCATGAGCGATCAAAATCCACACAGTAAATTCAAGTGTGTGCTGTTATATCACTTTGCCCAGATACCATGCATCCAGTGTAATTCAACATTCATTTGATGTCATGTCACAACTCGGAACCGATCGATAGATTTTACATATATCCTGAACGATGACTATCTGTCATGCAGTTGTTGTTTGGCGGTAAATTTATCTCATCGTGAAGTCTGCTCAAGTGGAGTCACTACCCCACATACGACAATTACTATCGGTTCCAAACGGGCCTTATCTACTGGATTTTGATCTGATAGTGGAAAATTTGCAGTGATAGGCTTGGACTTTCAGTACCGACAGTGAGATCTAATTTCACGAAAGGAAAAAAAAGAAAAAGAGAAGAAAGAAAACACCAGCGCCGTCCATGCCCACACACTACTAAAAAACGTTTGTAGCAGCGGGATAATTTATTTGTAGGGGCGGCTGGTGATGGAGCCGCCCCTACAGTGGGCATGCTCGGGACCTACGAGACCAGCCGCTCCTAAAAATGGCATAGTAGGGGCGGCTGATGATACGAGCCGTCCCTACAAATGGGTCGATTTATAGGGGCGGCTCACTCACCAGCCGCCCCTAGTGTTGCGATTTGTAGGGGCGGCTCAATTACCAGCCGTCCCTATAAATCACACTTGTTCATCATCGATCATCATGAACAGTTGTGATTTTTCTTTTTAATCTCTGGGTAAAATTTATAACTAGTCTTTCTCCCTCATACTAACTACAAATATGAGGATTTTTTTTTCTAAAATTTTCTAAAATCATGCCCTATCAAGTTAGTGTGTTGATTTGTCAATCTTTTCGTTTGACAAAGTTTGATCAATTCAAATTTTCAAATTTAAAAAATAACAAGTTCTAACAAGATTTTGAAACACCAAATGATTTCAGCTGAAAAAAGTGATGAATACCAAAGATGTATAACTCATCAAGATCTACAACTTTTATTTTGGTTATTTCTTTATCTGATAAAGTGATAGTAAACATTGTTCACAAATCAACATGTCTCTCGTATAGTTCATAAAACTATGAGTAATATGTGAATTTGTGAACAATGTTTACTAACACTTTGTCAAATAAAGAAGTGACCAAATTAAAAGTTATAGATACTGCTGAGTTCAACAACTTTTATGTTCACGACTTTTATAGTTAAAATCATTTAAGGTTTCAAAATTTTGTTTGAAGTTTTCATTTATTGAAATTCAAAATTTTAACTATTCAAATTTTGTCAAATGAAAAGATGACCAAAATAAAAGTTGTAGATAGTGATGTGTTCACAAACTTTTATATTCATCACCTTTACAGCTGAAAACATTTAGTGGTTGAAAATCAGGTTTAAAGTTGTTATTTTCTGAAATTTAAAATTTGAATTGTCTAAAATTAGTGACAAAGATAGATAATCAGACTAAAATGATAGAGTATGATTTTAGAAAATTTGAGAAAAAAAACCATCATATTTGGAGTTAGTATGAGGGAGAAAAACTAGTTACAAGTTTCAGCCACAGATTAAAAAAGAGAAATCATACTTATTCATCATTGATCTTAATGAACAGTTGTGATTTTTCTTTTTAATCTCAGGGTAAAATTTATAACTAGTCTTTCTCCCTCGTACTAACTCTAAATGTGATGATTTTTTTTCCTAAATTTTTTTTAAATCATGCCCTATCAAGTTACTGTATTGATTTGATCATTCTTTTCGTTTGATAAAGTTTGAACAATTCAAATTTTCAAATTAAAAAAAATGACAAGTTCTAACAAGATTTTGAAACACCAAATGATTTCAGCTGAAAAAGTGATGAATACTAAAGATGTATAACTCATCTAGATCTACAACTTTTATTTTGGTTATTTCTTCATCTCACAAAGTGATAGTAAACATTGTTCACAAATCAACATGTCTCTCATATAGTTCATAAAACTATGAGTGATATGTGAATTTGTGAACAATGTTTACTAACACTTTATCAAACA